TCTGCCAAGACATATTCTGATACACGCTCTCTCGAATTTCCTATAGTGCCCCATTATTGAGGTCCTGTATACCACACATTACTACACAAAGAAAAAATGAAGTAATAATTCGTTTAATAACAATCATGAATTTTAATGTTGCAGTAATGCACTACGTGGCAAAGCAATGTCAATGCAATCATCTACTAGGCAAATAGAATCAGGGCTTCAGTTACTTACAAGACTCAGTAATCGACCATCCCTTAAGGGTTTGTGTAATGTACTATTCCCGGATGGACTACTGTCCAAGGAAACTGTGGAGATTACCGGAAATGTATCTAGTGGAAAAACATTTTTAATGACACAGCTTCTTGCTCAATGTATATTACCTTTAGAATATTCAAAGGTTAATATCGGATTAGGCATAGGCGTGATATTTATAAATACCGACCACCATTTTATGGTTACGAAATTAGTTGACTTAATGTGTAACTATATAAAAAGTGCATTTCAATCCAATAATCAGAAACTTCCAAGCAATGAGGAGATGGACGTGATAATCAATTCCTCCTTGAAATGTCTAAATATTATTAATTGCTATAATAATTCACAATTTCTTCTTACATTAAAAACATTGGAAACTACATTACTAGAGAACTATAACATAGCACTTGTTGCAATTGATAGTATTTCGGCATTTTATTGGGAGAATCGTGATGAGGGCGGAGTATGGGCAATGGATTTGTACATAACCAATTTATTAGAACTTTTACATAAAAGTGTTACTCAGTTTAATATTGCTGTAATATATACAAGACCTAGCAACTTTGTATCCAAAGTACAGGATCCTAGTGAGAAGGGATTGAAATTAACTATGAAAAATATAAATTACAAAATCAATGTCCATAGAGACGAAAAATCGGAGAACCACCTGTGTACAATCAGAACTGCCACAAATAAAACTGATATTAATTACTTAATAACTGAATGTGGTTTAACATGGTTAAAAGAGTCTAAGGTGATCAATGAGGATAAAGAAAATTAAACTAGTTTTGAAAAATATCCACATTTGAAAGCAATACTTTGTTCATAACGTCTAAAGGACTCAAAAGTCTAGATCCTGCCAATGTTATTCTAGGAGAACGAGGTCCGTGCAAAGAAACAATAGATTCAACAAGTCGAGCTTCTTCCGCTGTTATACCGCCCAGCACATAAATTATTATCCAGGGATTATCAGAAGGATGTAGTTTCGTTCTTCCTTTGAGGAGTAAACTGTAATTTTGATAGAAACTTATTTTAGTGCACAGTCATTATGATACTGTCACGATACTTTTACGTTGTATTATATTAAACATATTTTTATATTCCTTTGTGAGAATTTACTATAAATAATCCTTTTAAAAAAATGCATACTTAAAGCCTGCCGATATGAGAGAGGTTGTTTTTCCTTGTATATCTTGAATTTCTTCTTTAGCCGGATCAAGTAAATCGGTGGTGAGACGTTCTATGATTCCTCTAGATTGTGCCAGTTCTTGAGGGCTGGGTTTGATCATCAATGACCTGGTACACAAAAAAAGTGTAAAAATAATATATTCATTTTATATAATTTTAGTTTGTTCAAAATAAAAATTATTACTCATAATTCGCAAGAGATTGCCGCTGGTTCCCTATGCCGCGCAGTAAATGAAGAATATATTCAGCCATTTTTTGTGTAGATTTTTGTGCTTTTTCGCCATCAGTAGCGCCTGTTGAAAAAGAAATAAATCAAGTATTTCTTTAAGTTATAAAAAATCATTGTACTGTAAACGAAATGTGTGTACGGTATTTCGATCTTTTTGAACTAGTTGAACAGACGTATAAGGGGAAATTTAATGTCACCGTCTGTTACCTAGGTATTATTATTGCATATTATTTCATAGTCACCCATTAAAAGTAAAGTTTGATGATATATCGACATTTGATCTCCGTTTAAAATTTCATCATATTTTTTTATATCTTCAAAAAATGCATCGGCCAACGTATGCTCTAATTGTTTTTCTTGCTGTGTCGCAAAACGAACTTCTGTTCCAGCAAGAGCGTAAATATGTGTTAACAATACGAGCAAATGCTCCATATCTAGTCCTCTGGTGGAACGAGTCTTTATGATATTACTTAACTGTAAAAGAAATGTAGCACAACGTCATACAAGTTTTGTAAACAAATCTTCCATATCAGCTGTTGTAATCAATTAGTGGCATATTAAATATATAAAACTGCCTACCTGTGCAAGTATGCTCGATGAATCACGGCTAGCTGCCAAGTTTTGCAATATTAGTTTTTCGAGACTAATAAGTAATTCGAGTTGAGCTGTTTTATTCGATTTTAATGCTTGAATTACAGCTATTATTTGCTGAAAATATGTATAAATGTATAAATCTGTAAAATAGATTTTTCAGATCGAAAACAGTGAGATCCCTGGCAAGCTACATGTAGCTTCGAATACAAGTTTTATAATTAATATGCACTTGCAGTAATTTTGGGTCAAGTAGTTATATTTACTTGGAGTACTTACAAAATGCGCATGTGCATAGTTTTGTGCTGAGACAGATATTTTTGTTTTTCAGCATATTGTTTTAAACTTTGTGGAAAGTTAATTAATTAATTAAACGAGTTTATTTATTATTTGTAATAGATTTCATTGTTTTCGTTCTGTTAAAAAGCCCATTGCACTCGTGGAACGACTATGCTGTACAGGAAATAAATCCGAAAGCCATCTTTAAGATGCCTGGAAAACAACTTCTGTGGCATTGAATGTTTTAAAGATTACTTCTTGTTAGTATACGTTGTCTCGGATATAGTCCTATTCAAGAGTATTCCAGTAACTAAAGTTCATTTGTACATTGGATTTTTATGGTAAAACCACATCAGTGCACGCAATATCATTGAATATTGTATGTATACCCAATTAGTTTCAAATATATGGTTACCTGAAGATGTTTACTTGACTTTTCTAATATTTCGATATTCTCAATATTGCGAAATTTATGTAGGAGCTTTTCCAAACTATGTACAGACACCCTCGTGGCTAGTCTAGTTTTTGGACTTTCTTTAACCATTGCCATTTCAGTAAGTAGTTTATTTAGTGACAGTAAAACGTCTTTTTGCTTCTTAGCTATTAATATCTCCATCATATGAGTGTCCGCACTTGCTAAACATCCAGGGATACTTTCCAAAGATGAACTTTCCTTAAAAATGATTCTAATAAATTTTTGTTAAATTAAAACTTAGTTTTGTTAAAATATATTTTACCAACCTCCATTTCTGGACATATTTGTGACATATTCACTGCAACATCATTGCGATGATGTGGTAAATGTGGCAAAGTACTTAATATCCGTCCTAATAAGGATTCTGTATTATAACTTGTTGCCGTACATAAATCTAATGTACGATCTACTAGAATAATGCTTACTCCATTCTGGCCTACAAGATTCTGTCAAAATGTATGGATAATTTCACTATATATGTATATATAGTTGATGTATCAATTGGAATTAATTACTTACTTTGGCCTAGATACTTACTTTTCTTCTGTCAATGGCTGATGGTAATTTTTCCAATTTTTCTGCAGCATATTCACTGAGTTTTCCTATAGCGAAAATATCATCTTTCACATTCAAACATGTACATAGACTATGGAATGAACTAACTAAAAAATCCACTTCAACTTCAAAGTTTTTTATCATCGATACATCCACTGGAGGCATCAGATCCCCAAATGGTGGTGTAATGAATACATTTTTATTTATACTTGCAGTAAAAATTGGTCTGAACATTATATCTACATGGCAGTCCTGTAAATTATTGTAAATAGTTATTATACAAAATTGGTTTGTAATATACTTACAATAATACCTGTAATGGATTTCTGAAGTTCATCCAACTCAAAATATCTTTTTTTAATTTATCATAACTGTCATCTTCTCCTATTTCTGATAATGATGTATAGTTTAATATACTACTATGCACTGCACATACAACTACGCAACAATTGAATGTGTTTTTTTCTATGATCAACTTAAGTGTTCGTTGATAAAATAGTGGATCTGTTGATGTATAAATTAGCACAGCCTTGCTACTATCTGTTACTGTAGTATACTGTGAGAGGCAAATATAATATTATAAGAAAAAAGATTAAACGAAACTAATTTCAAAAGATAATATTTCATACATGGAAGTTGTACATTGCCAACTCATGCACAGAAACTGCTCCAGCTTCTTTCAACAATAAAAAACCTTTATCTCCTTGATACCAATGAAGACATTCTGCTGCAGAATGATCAATGTAAACTGCAGCATCTCGTATTTGGAAAAATATATCCTTCCAACATGTATTAGCAAATGCTTGCAATTGATTAACAGTATCCATATTGTCTATTTGTTACGAGTTTACAGTTTTAATTCACTTACTCTTAACTCAATTCGTTTCACATGTGTATGGAGTAATAATACATGAAGTAATAATGTTAAGAGTAATATTGTTTTTAAGAAGTTGAAATTTTGTAGGTTAGGACTAAAATGTCTCAAGAACCTGCACTAGAGGATACAGTGTATGTTGCGGCCTAGTGACAAATAATCTCATTAGGATTGAGCGGCAAGTTCAAATGAAGGATTAAAATGGGATCACGATTTGTCTTCCTAAATCAGAATTCAATGTTTTTTAAATTCTCAGTCTGTCATTAACGCATAAATAAGATATATCCTAAACAATTCGAGGAAAGCTTTCTAGCTTGTACACTTACATAAACATATGGGCCACAAAGAATGTAGACATGGGCCATTTGTTTATTGCTACCTTAGCCGAGTGAGACTTTTTCAAGAATTCTCACTCCCCGCAATAAATCGGGTCCCTTGAGAGGATCTCATTCCCAAATAAAATAAGGATAAGGTGTGCATAATTTCTTTGTGCGTAAAAACAAGGCTCTCGATCTTGGGCTCGGACAGCGAGACACCACACGGTGGCCTTCCACCAAAAGTAGTACGTATGAATGTGTATGAATAAATGCATGCATAAGAGGTTCAGAAGACTGTATCTCTTGAGATCCAAGAGATCAGTTTGATTTCTGGTCTGATCTAGTAGAATTAATTAGTTAGATTCAGTTATAGTAGATTGATTTACATTAAACCATATTATAATTAAAGTAAATAAAGTTAGTTACATTGCTCTCCAAAAGCACTTGCATTTTTATTTCTAAAGCCTTCATACAGTTTGAAAATACATAACATCATCGCACCAGAAATCAATTTCAATACAGAGGAGATTGAACACCGTTGAAGTGCTCATCAGAGGTTTGATGGCTAACGAACCTATCTCGCCAGATTCACGAGGTTAAATCTGTCGCAAAAATGTAAAATCAGCCAATCAGAGCAAAGAGGGTCCAGTGACGTCACTGCCCAAATGCGCAGAACCGCTAGTGGCTATACTTCGTCTATTTGTATCATGGACGTCACAACATGGTCAATTCAAAAAAGCATTCAATTTTGAGTCTAAAAGTACAAATACACTAATTATTGAAAATTGGCAGGTGATACAATATTTTTTAAATAAGAAAAAATTTAAAAGTTAAAAATAGGAATATTGTATATAAAATAAAATAAATAAGGAATTCAATAATGTAATCTTCCGTTCCCCTTGAAATCCTACGAATTTTATCTGAAACATTCTTTTTATATCTGGCTTCGTTTCCGAAAAAGTCGACCTGATCAATGTAAGTGCCCCACCCTGTATATATTTTAAATCTTTGTTAATAACATAATGAAAACATAATAATTTTGTTTCAGGAGGGTTCTAGTCTAGGGAATCAAAAAAAAAACAATTTTGTCTGTATATTTTTCACAAGTATTTGGCATGAAGTATATTGTTTTGAAGTTTTGAATAAGTGACCAAAAAGTGTTTACCTAATTCATAAAGGTATAAAGTATAAAGGTTTAGGGCCTGATAAGTAATAGGTCCCGCCGTGCGTTCTGAGCGCACTCCGCATGGGTAAAGTATTGCGGGTCGGAGCGGCGGTCGTCCGATTTTCCTAATAGACGAACAGAGGCTTCTTAGAGAAGAAAAAGCGGCTCTGTAGGACATGTATTGTACGAAGAAGAGGAAGATTCCCTTTATAGTCCTGAAATAGCTGATTGAATATACATAAGTAGCATTATTTGCGTGTTACCTCTAAGTAATTGTTACAAAAAACTTTAAAGCGTTTTTCTTGAAACTAGATTTTCCATGTCGGTGCCTGATACTTCAAAATCTATTTAACTAATTGCGCTAAAACTTTGCACACATCTTCAGCACGTGTTTGGTTGTCGGCTGAACTAAAATCAAATCAAAATATTTTTGTTTTAATTTCACAGTATTTTAAAGTTGAACAAACTTTGGAGAAATCAATACCTAATTTTCAAAGTGGCGCCACTTTTTAATTTTCAATTTTAGTCCCTGCTGTACCGAATTCATATATTTTTATAATCACGTTGATTTTTTTTCAGATGAGTAGAACGGCCGAAATCGTTGACATCGTTAAACGACTTTTTTAAAAATGGTTTTACGAAAACTGACGTACAACGTTTATGATTCAAAGTTTCGTAATACAAAATTTCATGTAGATATTTAAAATTTGTACTAATATGTAGGAAAAACCCTTATTTCAACAAACCTTAGTTTTTATTAAATTCGCAAAGATAGCTTACAAATCAAGCCTTTAGACTAGTATCCCCCCTTAATGGTAATGAATCATATCTATTATCGTTCCGGTGTAATTTTTTATCTTAAATAAATAAATTTATAAATATAAAAGTTACTTCAACCTTAGAACGACGTTATTTTAGAAATTCATTCCAAAGATTTAGTTTCGGGGAAATGAAGACTCAAAAGAAAACATTTGAAAAGATACTTTTTTTTTATTGGAAATGTAAAATACTTCGTGACACTTCTATATTGTATGTAGTAATAGTCGTCTATAAGACGTATTTTTTCAAAGTGATAACAATAGTCAAAATTCCATCATACAACTGGTTTGTATAATTAAAGAACGACGGAATTTTCCATTTTATGTAAATACTTTTGACCTTGGTCGAGGAGATAAATGACAACAATAACTTCATGTATAGTTTAGAAAATGGAAAAGTGGACACAGCCACGATATTAAAAATGATCGTCATTAAAGACATACTTTAAATTAATGTCATACTTGATAAACATTACAAATAATGTGAGCGTTTTTGACATTTCGACCAGAGGTTCTTCCTGCTTTTACTTTATTTTATATTAAGTTATAGAGCTGATACTTATGACGTTTATTTCAAATAAAATAGAATCAGGAAAAGCCATATGTTATATCTTTCAAGCTAACTTCAAGAGCATTAGAAATCCTGATGTCTGTTGTACTCGTACGGCCTATTGCTTGACTGGTCTCTAGATCGGATGCTCCACCAAAAAAATCGTACCGAAAAAAGAACTACATATACAATTCTTCCTTAAGAAAAACACTTAAGAAAAGAGTGGAAAGTTATAATATCCGTGTGAATAGTTGAAATTCTGCTTAAACTTATTTTGATTAAAGCATGGAATTTGCTCATCTACACAGAGTGGCATCTAATTGGACCAACCAGGGTAATAGTAATTTAATTTTTCGTCTATAATTTGGGTCCTTGGCAATAGGGTTATGTTCTAAATAGACTGTTTGTAATTTTTTATTAGCTGCCAAGCTCTCTATAGTGAGCCAATCTTCAATTTCATTATTGTTGATCTAAAATTGAAAGAGATTGTTAAAATATTTCTAAAATTATTAAAAATGTTTACTATCTTGATATAGTATTTTCTAAAAACTCACCCAAAACTCTTCAAGATCCGTCAGGTGATCCATGTTTTGGATTTTTTTGATCTTATTATTTGCTAAATCCAATGTGGTTAAATTAGGGCAATTTTCTAAACCCTCAATAGCTGTTAGTCCATTTTCAGAGAGATACAGTTGATCGAGTTTTTTCAAAGATTCCAAATTTTCGATTTTTATGAGCCGATTGCTTTGCAAACTCAAAACTTGCAGATTTTCGAGAGTGTCGAGATTCTGTATCTTAGATATTTTATTCTTGCTAAGAAACAAATTTGTCAAGTTTATTAGACCTTCGAGATTCTCGATCTCGCGAATCTTATTATCGCCTAATTCGAGAAGTTCCAACTTTTTTAAATGTCCGATATTCTCGACCTTGGTGATCTTATTGGATGAGAGGAAAAGCTTTTGCAAATTTGGCAAATTCTCCAAGCCTTCAATTTTCCTGATACGGTTGAATGAAAGGTCAAGCAATCTGAAAATAATGCGAATTCTCAATAATAATTTACTAACATAATAAATGGTTTCATTTAAAGAAATAGTTGTATATATGGGAAACGTTTTTTTTTTTCTTTAAAGAACTCAATTGTTTAACAGGACAAAAAATTATTGCACATACTGCAAATTGACGAGGGCGTCCAAGTTCTCGATAAGCGCGATTTGATTGTCCCTTAATTCCAGTTCTACCAACGTGACCAAACTGTCCAAATTTTCGATCTTTTTAATCAAATTCCAGGTGAAGCACAGTCTTTTTATTTTGGTCAGTGGTTCCAGATTCTCCAGTTTACTCAAGCGGCAATGATTGAAATCCATTTCCTATGTGTTCAAACAAATAAAAATAAAAATCGCAATAAGATGGCATTATCCCGGGAAAAAATGATTGTATATAATCAATATAAATTTATATATAGACAATTAAACTTTTTTTTATCTAATTATACATCAATAATCATTTTTTTCCACAGATATGAAAGTCACCGACTTATTTCACGAACTGAATTCTTATTTCTAACGATAATTTGAAATTAAGAATAAATGATAAACGTGATCTGTTCACATAACACATGGGTATAAATTGGCTAATTGATTTACTTCAGATCCAGAATGATTCATCACAATATCTAAATACCGAGATATAAACGTGATATAATTCCAATGGCAAATAACAAAAAAAAGGGTAATAAAGAATGAATTTCGGAGAATTCAACAGACTTCCGTATCTGGATCAATGATGAGAATCTTTTCCGGTTCTTCGCCGTCCTCTTTGTGATTTCCAGTCTCCATTTCAGAACTTTCGCTTTTATCATCTTCTGTAAAAATGAATATTGAAAATTAGTGTTACTATGAAGCCAGACACAGATCAAATGACTACATAACCTTGGTTAGATTATGTACCCATGTACTAATCGCAGAAAATTACGATATTCACTTACCATTGTTCGCCATCACCGTATACGAAGTTTTCACTTTGCCAGAATCAAAACTGTGCTTTGCTACACACTTCACTGATTGAACAATTATTATTGAATGTTATTTTCTAATATTAGACTGCAGCGCTCCATCGATTTTATGTGGTATTCTTTAGAAGAATCTTTCCAGGCAAACAACGCCATCTATGAGAAACTGTACTAACCCCATAGAATATTGAGTTCCTTCGAGTTTCGACATTCAACAGCGTTATACTATTATCGATAGTCTACTTATCGACTGTCGGTAAAAAAGAAATGTATTTAAAAATTATATTTTCTGCATTCAATTTACTCATTTCAGATACATTTTTCAATGATGACTATTATGTTTTTTTAGATTTAAAAGAGTGGTTTATTTTCATTCATATCGATATACATAATAAAGTAATAATCCACCTTAGAACAACTTAATCTGTAATAAGATATATTTTTGGTTGGTCATCATGTATGGCGTATCTCGCCAAAACACATTTATTGTTATTTCTAGTTTTTTTACCACCGTTATTGTCTTTGATCTTTAATATTATTTATTTTTGTTTTTTGGTATGGTAAAAAAAATAAATGTAAAAACCATTGTATCTATATGATTTCTAATTAGTTTTAACTTAAAGGAACGGCAGGAGGAGTATGGAAGAAGGAGGAAAAGGAAAAGAATGTGTTCTTGTAAGTATGTGGAATGAATTATTTACATATTTACAGTTGCAAACAAAAGTTGCAAGGCACTAATGTTATTTTAGAAACGTCTGGATTTGTGTGATCTGTTTGCACAACTTTGTAGAAGCTGTTGTATTAGCATTTGTTGTTTTAATCGGGCTCTGCACCTCAACTCCTGCATATTTTTAGCGTCTCCGTAGAGCTACCCATATGCGGTAGACAGTCTTTCTAGATTACCACGATCTCTATCAGCCATTGCTGTCGAATATACCCATTTGTCTCGAGGTATATTATCTATATCGGTAAAGACTTTCTTCCTCAATTTCGTTTTATATGGTATATAATTGGAACATTATTTTGATCTCGTATGACTTCCATTCTATCCAATTTGGTGAAAATTGTAGGCGATGAGTAATTACTGCGTGCCATCCGTCTTAGAGTAATTTCGTCATTTATTTTTAGGTCTTTCAGAATATCATTATCTATCTGATGCAGAGTACTGTAGTAATTCCTGGTCAATGTGAGAGTAAATATATCGAATCTTAGAATATTCGCCATATTGTATATT